CAACAGTCCTTTGTTTATGGCCATGCGTGTTAACGTCTAAAGTTTGTAGTTTAATTGTTTAAAATAATTCATTATTTCGAGCGAATGGAATGATTTGGAGGGAAGAAATGATTTATAGTAGGGGACAAAATAAAATAGTTAAGGGAAAGAAGTGCTGCGAAGAAACAATGATACGTGAGAAAAGGCCCTACAGCAGCTTAACAATAAATAAATCCACCAAAGGCTTTAGGCCTATATAGACGTAGTATGCTCGGATGAGCAAACTGAAGAGTGTCTATACTGGTGTTTTATTGTGTTAATTTTTGTCTACCACTTGAGCACCGTGCCGTCAGCAATGGCCGTCTTTGACAAATAGTCGTTAAATTATCCGGAATATAGGCCTACAGTTATATGGCGGGTGTAAATGTTTCACCTGTATTGCACGTCGAAGAAATTAACATAGTCGATCGGATTACTCCTACTAGGCACCGTATTTTACAGAACATTTAATGTGCCGGACAGTAAGTTAATGTTAGGTAAGTTCCTACAGTTAAACCCGATCATGGCCCGCAACAGGCTGGATAGGACTTCTGTAAACACTGTAACGCATAAGAAGATAAGTTTCTCGTTCTGTCTAATTCCAGTTTATCTGAAATTCTAAAAAGGATTAAAGACCACTTGTGAGACCGGGGTTTCCATGGTAGGCCTATTTAGCAGCTTTGGTCTTTGATAACGATAAAAGACATTGTTAATTTGGGACCCCAGAAAACGTGCTCTTGGAGGCTTTAATTGGAGGGGTCTTTAATTAAAAAGAGTTAGTGTACGAAAAATGGAGCGGAACGAAAACAGTAATGTACAAAAACAGTGACAGGTGGCCTAACAGAAACAGTGGAATGGTAAAACAAAACAAAAAAAGAGGCTGGGTACAAAGAGCGTTAGGGAATGATAAAAACAAAGTCAAGATACTGAAACAGGCGCATCATAATGGTACGATAACTCGAGGCTGGATACAAAAACATTGATAACACAGGTACGGAAAAAAATAGCATAGAGGCTATGTAGCAGAAAATAAAAGAAAGCATGCTCAATAGAAACGTCAAGCATTAAATTATCAACAAAACAACAGTTGTTTTCAAAACTGTAACGCATCAATTCTTTACCAAGCTTCAATTCGAAGGGCAGAAAACGGACACATGAAGGAGTAGGTAGGCCTAAGTGGTTGTTGAAGTATAAAGAGTCGATCATGTTAAATGTGTGATCGTCTGTAGTAATTTTCGTAATGTGTTGACGAAACTATTATTATCATTTGAGTCTTTCCATATGGTTCCAACACACTTTTTTGCCGACCCCCTTGAAATCGCCCAATATTTTGTTTGTTGGGGGGTGGGGTCTACCTGAGATAACCCCACAGTGAAATTTTTGGCTCTCTTGAAACTCAACTCAATCAAATTCTGGTGGTACCGTTTGATAGAGGAGAAGACTCTCTTTCCAATGATATGCAACTCGATGATGTCCAGACTAGTGAGAGTTATATAGGTCAAGTCAAGTGACCTTGACCTTTGACCTAAAATATCACAAAAGTGTATATCTCCATTTTCGGGAAATTCACACCTCAGTTAGGACACTTAGCCCATATGATGCCCCTAAAGTTTCAATGTGGGCAAATGAAATGCGTATATTAATAGTTCTAGACTACATTTTGTGCCTATAGGTATTGATAGTTTCACTGAGTTTCCAGGAAATCTGCTGATTCTATGAAAATGGCACCATAATATAGTGGAAACCAGGGCCCCCGTGACCATTTTCTGGGACCAACTAGGTTTCTCTGCTGATGTAGCATCATTAGGGTATAAATAAAAAATTGAGCGAGGGAGAACCTCCTGAAAAAGGGCGGAACATATTTTTTGGCGGCCATTTTCGAAATGGCAGCAAAAATTATGATATTGGCTCATAACTTCACTTACATCCAATGAAAAAGGGAAAATCTGGTGTCACTGAAGTTATTAGGGTCACTGAAGCCATGTTTCGAAAACGTAAAATGGCAGCCATATTGAAATTCAAGATGGCCGCCTTAAAAATTGTCAAATTTGAATATTAAATGTATAATTCCACATCTCCTCTATGGAAAATTTGGATCTAATCATATGATTTTGGGCTCTCTGAATACAATAAACATAGTTTCAAAAAAGCTGGGATGGGTCATTTTGAAATTCAAGATGGCCGCCATAAATATCCTCAAGGGGGTCTGGCAAAAAAGTGTGTTGGAACTATATGGAAAGACTCATTTGTAAGTTTGACGTAAAAATGGAAATGCAGAGGGCGATGGGGAAGCGAAAGTGAACTTGATGATTGAGTGAGGAGCGCTTGACAGTATTACTGTATTTAGGCCTAAGCGTACAGTAATGTTTTTACTTCGAAAATGTTCAGTGGGGTAGGGGAAAATGGGAGACCCAAACTTGTTTTGGGTAGTGTGCAACCCCATACTGTAGATACGTCACTACTCGAGTATAAAATAATGCTAAAGATATACCTGTACGAGTGAACAATTAAACTTGGTTCAAAACCTTTACGTGATATATACATATATTATGTTCATCAGGATATACGTGCACCCATCACTTCGATGCATCATAACCTGTCTCTTAATACATAGCTACCTAGATGTGTATAAGAGACAGATATATATATATATATATAGGCCTATATATATATTATTAACTGTAGAAATATTCATGTGCTACAGAATGATACCAGGTTGAATTCTCCTGATTGAGATGCTCTATTTTATTTTTCTTTATTAAATAAAGCGTATTCTATAAAGTGGTAACTACTTTTTAAAACTATATTTAGAAAATAACAAAATTAAATCAAATAAATATTTGTTTTAAAATGTATTCAAAGTCGGTTTGTCTTTAAGAACTACCTACAAGTGTACACTCTATCAACTGTATTCTAATCAGAAAACTTCAAAAAAAGCGGAGCCTTTTTTTCTGGTTATTGGATACAGAATCAATCAACACAACGTGCAAATAATTACAATATGATTGCATTTTGACAAAGTTTTTTTAGTTATCATTAATGGCCATAGGAAGCGGTCTGGCTGATCCGGTTTTGGCCAGACCAATATTTAAAGTAGAAAATACAATTTTTTTTACAGTTTCAGAGTACCATTTTTTAGCATTGAGAGGGGGGCTAATATAAAAATTTGCATTTTCAGGTGGGCACTGGTATAATATCTCTCTTCAGGGAACGAAGTCTCAAACCAGTATCGGTGCCAACAGCTGCCAACAGGTAACTAAACCATGGACCCTCCGTTTGAAAAGAACACTACTTTTACAGTCTCAAGAGCGTTCCGGTACATCTTTTGAAATTTTTCTCACCTTAGCTCCAACTGGACGAATTCTCCTTCAGGAAACGTAAAAACGTGACACTGGTAAATAAAGCTCCCTGTGGTGAAGAAGTGGGGAGGAGGATGGAAATTCTCGATGGCCGGACCAATAATAACAATTAAGTAAATAATGTTTCATGTTGTCTTTCTTTAAACAGCCTCTGATAAGAACACTGGTAAACTAGCTGCTATCAAAATGGTGCCACAGACATTCCAATTCACAACTCACACTAACAATGGAAACAGAGAATCGAGGCCTCTGAAACAAATAAAACGCATTAATGTAAGTAGGCCCTACATTGCATTTTTCGAAAGACACTATAGGAGTTTTCTTTTGACAGCAATAACAACAACAATACTACTACTACATACTACTACTACTATACTGCTGCTGCTACTACTACTTCTGCTGCTACTACTACTCCTGCTGCTACTACTACTGCTGCTGCTACTGCTCCTACTACCACTACTACAACTGCTACTACTACTACTACTACTACCACTACTACCACTACTACTACTACTACTACTAGTAGTAGTAGTAGTAGTAGTAGTAGTACTAATAATAATACTAATAATAATAATTATTATTATTATTATTATTAATATAATAAATATAATAATAATAATGATGATCATGATGATAATAATGATGATGATATTTAATATTATTATTGTTAATATGATATGATGATGATATTAAATATTATTATTGTTATTATGATTGTTATTGTTTCTAATATAATAACGATAATGATAATAATAATGATGATGATGATGATGATGATGATGATAATGATGATGATGATGGTGATGATGATGATGGTGATGATGATGATGATGATGATAATGATGATGATGATGATGATGATGATGATGATGATGATGTTAATGATATTTTAAATATTCTAGAATAATTTTTTTTACTGCTCGTTGAAATTCGTACAAACACAGAATTTCCAGGAACATGAAATAATTGTTTTACAGAAAATTCATTGTTGTTTATTAATTTTGATTGATTCTAATATTTTCAGTTGGCATTGAGCTTGCGCGTTAAGGTTCTACTTGTTTTGACATTAGGCCTACTTGTCGCCGTCGATATTGTTTTGTATCTATCAACAACAGAAGCAAAAATCAAATATAAGTTTGGCTTAAGGTAAGGAATATATTACAACATGAAATATTATCAATCTTTATATATGATATTGAGACAATAGTATATTACATGCTATTATTATTGGGCCTTTTAAAGCTTTCTGTCCAACTAAAGAGAATTTTTGGGACCGGGCTTATAACCGTGGTCTTCAGCAACTTTGGTCCCTAATTAGAATAATAAAAATAAAAGATTTGTTCATTTGGGACCACAGAAAAGTGGTCTTTAATTGGAGGTGGTCTTTAATTGGAGGGGTCTTTAATTAGAGGGAGACCTGTATTAGTAGTATAATCATAATCAGTGTTACATATGCTTTTCCATATGTTAAACCTCTTTAATCTGTTAAAGCATATTTAAAGAGTGCATGTTTATTAAATCTCCACTACGAATTTAAAAACTAGGAGAATGTTATTGAGAAAAAAAATAATCTTGCTGTTCACAATTTGGAAAAGAGTATCTCTTTCAATGATTCAAAATTACTCTAGCAGTTTTAATATCACAGTCGCATAAAAGAGTATAGGATAGGTCAATTTTGTTTTCAAAACTTAACTATTGTACTCTTCGTTTGATTTTACAAAAACAGTATTTGTACAACGAATTATTTTTTTAAATCCTTGAAATTTGTGACTAAAATAAAGATAAATCCATTCAGAAGCCATTAAGGCTCATCTGAAGCATGAATCAAATCAGAGTGTTATACTCACCCCCTTGAAGTGACGCTTCAAATCCATCGCAGGTTACCCTTCATGCAGCCTGGTAGACTAAAGCAATGTAGAAAACGTGCTTTGAACATTGAATGAAATACATCATCATCATTATCACCATAATCATCGTCATCATCATCATCATTAACATCATCAGCATCAGCATCATTATTATCATTATTCTCATTATCATTATCATAATTATTATTATCATTATTATTATTATTATTATTATTACAGTATTATTATATTATTATAACATTATTATTATTATTATTATTATTATTAATAATACTAATATTTGAAACAAGAGTTAATCTGTATTGACATTAACCTTATAATTGATGTCCTTGTTATAAGATATTATTTGACTCAGATTTATATCAGACTATGTTATTACTTTCTTACGATATTGTATTTCCTTTAGGGAATCCAAAATTTCATCTAGTAATGAGCCTGTTGCATTGCACGTATTACATAAACCGGACACTGAAAACGTGGAGAAATTTAGGTAAAGTGAAAAATCAGATTCACATATTTTGTCGTGGAGACATTGCAAAAGTGTTTCCTTGTTTAAAAAAAATGAAAAATGTATAAATAAAAATATCCAAATAGGGCCTATCCATGAAAAGGCATTGAAGATATATAAAACATTAATGCACAGGTAATATAATTATTCTAGAATACAATCGTTGCAAGTACAGTAACTGCAATCTATTAAGGTTTCATAACATCTTTGCAGTGACAATTAAAATATTTTGAGTAGGCTTTGTGTTGAACATTTACATTCGAGGTTTACCTTACCTTACTTTACCGATGTGCCATGCCATTGGCATTGGCTGGCATTGCTTTCTACCCACAGTCGAGGTTACACAGAAATAATCTTTCTTTTTTCTTAAATTTTTCCACAGACAAAATAAAAATCGTGTTTTTTTAAAGACAGAGAATTACAATGAATAAAGCCTTTTCCACGAATCGGTAAACATCTTGAAGTGATGACAAACATTGCGAATCAGCGGTGCGTAACCAACAGAAATAAGATAAGCTTTTAGGCTGATTTTCGGACATCATGTTATTTTAAAAATCATAACTCCTTAACGGGGCGTCGTTTCCAAAACTTTTTTCCAGCAAAATGTTCTTAAAAGACTAGTCTACACCACTATATGATTGAAAAAAATTGATAAATGTGTTTGACCTCTGAAATCAAGATGGAAAAAGAAAAGCCTATCTAAGTAGTGTATTAAAATAGGCCTATGCATTACAGTGATAGTAGCATAGTACTTTCGTATTGTTACTGTTCCAGGTACCGATAATATGCAGATTTCTCTTACTATAAAGTACAAGTTATGTTTTATAAAGAAGTATAGTATAGTAAATCATATTTTTAACACAGGAAACACTCATATGGTAACTAAAACAATGCTAGTCCAGAGTATTACTAGTACTACTGCACTGTAATGTACCTATTTAATACACTACTTAGATATAGCTTTTCTTTTTCCATCGTGATTTCTGAGGTCAAAAACATTTTTTTTTTTCAATCATATAGTGGGATAGAATAGTCTTTTGAGAACATTTTCCTGGAAGAATTAATGTGATACGACCCTCCGTTATAGAGTTATGAATTTTTAGATAACATGAGGACAAGAATTCTCAAAGCTTATCTTATTTCTGTTGGTTACGCACCACTGACTTAGGTTATTTGTCATCACTTCAAAGTCTACCGATTCGTGGAAAAGGCCTGGATGGAGGTCAGTTAAGTTCGCAGAACTTTATGTTCGACCATCATTTAAAATAATACAGTATATAGTATCATTAACAATAGTTGGTCGGATGAGAAAACAGAATAAAATAACTAATTTGTGTTTATTGTTTACTAATAAAAGCAAAACATAGCCTACATTTTAAACATTTTTCATTTTGATTGTACAATGGTTTTTTTGCACAGACTTAAATAAACCTTGTATATATCTTGATACAGTAAGCATAAGCACGTTAATTTAAAAATAATGTTAGTTTTAAAATGATGCAGCCGCTTAAATTTTGTGTTATAAGCTTTATCCACGACATCAGAATTGCCTGTGGGCATGATTTCATATTACTTCCATACATGGTATGACGATATCATTATCATACTCATATGTGGACATATCATAGGATTTTGTATCAAAACATTTAATAGTGTACCGTACATAAAGCTTGAGAGGCAATAAACAGTACGATATTGCATTAAATTCGGTAACCATCTAAATGTCCTTCTTTTCAATAATAAAATAGTATTGCAACTAAACAATATTTTGAGTTTAAATACCGGAAAACGAGAATTTTACAAATTTGCTTAAAAAATATACCGTATATAATTAAAAATACAATAATAACAAAGATAAGTAAAACATTTTAGCTGCCAAGTAGTACCGTACTAAAATTCCCTCGAAGATCTTGAATTGAAATATGCATATTAGAGGTCTCACTTATATCACCAAGACTTAGTTCATCTTTTATTAAGTTTAACAAATTATTTAAAATGCATTTTAATATTGTTACATTCTTTATTATCTATTTCAGTTATGATAAAGAATAATATTTTTTTTTTAATTTTCTTCATCACTAGCACATTTATGACACAGGCCTATATAGTTACGTTAGAATATTTTAATATTAGCTAAATTTGTTACTCATTTGTTTTATATATTATTATTAAACAATGACAAAAATACATGGTGACATGTTTTTATTGTAAAAATTATGTTTCATGCAGGCTTAATTTTTTAATTCTTTATTAACTATTTCAGTTATGATAAAGAATAATATATTTTTTTTAAATTGCCTTCATCACTATCACATTTATGACACAGGCCTATATTACAGTTACGTTAGAATATTTTGATATTAGCTACATTTGTTACTCACTTGTTTTATATATTATTATTAAACAATGACAATAATCCATGGTGAAATGTTTTTATGGTAAAAATTATGTTTCATGAAGGCTTAAATTTTTAATTCTTTTATTTCAGTTATGATAAAGAATAATATTATTTTTTTTAAATTGCCTTCATCACTATCACATTTATGACACAGGCCTATATTACAGTTACGTTAGAATATTTTGATATTAGCTAAATTTGTTATTCAATTATTTGTTATTCAATTATTAAACAATGACAAAAATCCATTGTGAAATGTTTTTTATGGTAAAAATTCTGTTTCATGAAGGCTTAAATTTTGAGCTGTTTGCTAGTATTGTATTTCTTTTTAGGAAATCTAAAAACGTATCGGCGTTAGTGCGTTCAAGAAAACCCAATGTATTGCGTATTCTAGATAAGCACGTGAATACTGAAAACGTAGAAAAACTTAGGTAGGTATTGATTGGTGGTATCGTACCGTATGGCCAAATTAGACGTTAAAATGTTCTTTTGTAAATCACTGCCAACAACCATGTTTTATCTCTATCTCTGCAGAACTAAATAGATTCTCTTATAGGATTTAATTTGTTGCTAATACCTATTCAGTTGTCAAGGTATGCAGGCCTTGTATAGACAGTTGCTTTAATGACTGTTTGCTGGCCCACCCTTATTAAAATATTCATTCCGAGGCTCTATTTATATTGTTGCATGGGCGGCAGAACAGGGGGGGGGGGGCGGCAGGGGCCCGGGCCCCCACTTTTTGGCAGAAAAAATATAATGTCTATGGAAATTTCTATATAATAGGAAAGAAATGCAAGAAAAGAAAGAGGGAAGAAGGAGGAGAGGAAGGGGAAAGAGTATGTTTATTCAGTCCCCAACGAGTTACATTTCCTCGCAATTCACATTGGCGGATCTGGGATTTATCGATTCATGGAAAAAAAATACGTATGGCCTGGCTATATAACTACTAAATTTTTTATGTATGTATACAGACATAAGGCCTATTTACTGTAATAAAGATGAGAAAGTTTACCTCGTTTTCAAGAGGGGGAAAATCTTTAATTTTGAAGAACACAGTCATTAAAAGACACCTAGCTTGAAAGTCGGGGAAAGCTCATTCCTGTCATCTAGGAATCACATTTTCCTGGGGGGACCCCGGATCCCTTTCCTTTTTGGAGTTTTTGAAAAAAATGTTGACCCCCACCCCCTAGATTTGATCCCAGATCTCCCTGATCACTGATCCCCCATTCATCTTACTAGTGCCCCCCCCCCACCCTCCACTTTGAAAAACGTTCTGCCGGCCCTGTGTTGTGACATAAACGAATACCTTCGTTTTTCAAAAATATTTAAAAAACATTTAGCAGCAATAACAATTACATCCAAAATGTTCTTTCTTTCCTTCTTCGACCAACATAAAATCGGAATTTGATTAAATATCCGTACGCTGTCAATGGAAGTTCTGGTATTTTTACGAAAGGGTAGTTCTTGTGGTCGGGAAATCGACGCTCATGATTTTAATGTACGGTTTTGACATAAACAGATATCTTTGTTTTTCAGAAAAACTTTAGAATCAAAGAAAATGACATCTAAAATGTTCTTTCATCCGACTAAAACAAACACAATTTTACAAATTGGACTGATACCAATTCAAGATTCTTGTGCTGTCATTGGAAGTTCTGGTGTTTTAAAGGGTAGTTCCTGTGGTCGGGAAATCGACGCTCATGATTTTGTAATAAGAGAAAATATGGCACCAGTGAAAGGATTTGAATCAGACGTTGGTACCCGAACAAGCCTGATGACGTCTAATGATGCAATCACGCATATTATGATTAGGTGCTTACAGAATCCATCGAAACCCTGTCATAAAAAATACTCAGAAATTTTAAAGGGGTTTGGCAAGATGTTTTTTGGAATACCAGTTTATCAAGACAGGCCAAATGATCAAAAACAATACAACAAGTTCTTTAGTATTGCAAAGTCTGTAAATTCGGATATTGACTTTAGGATTCCGTTGCACAAATTCAGAGGTGAACTAGACAGGTACGTTATAATTTTTTTGAATTTATTTACCGTACCGACACACAGGGTTTACTTACAAACAGTCTTTTGGTCTACCGTAAAGCCCCGAATAGAAGCACAATAGATGGAAGAAACCCATCTCGAATTGAAGCCTCTCTCTTTAGTTTGCAAAAGTAGCCTGGAAAAGAAACGCATCTTGAAAAGAAGCGCATGTGCTTCTTTTCAAGATATCATATGGCTCTTTTTTGAGACAGTGCAGTACATACACTGTACATGAATTTCGAAGAGACAAAATAAATTTAAAACACGTTGGTTATACAGGATGTATTTACTTCCAAATTCAATCAATAAATACTCCAAATGGTAACCTTTCTCTTTGCTCTCTCCTGTTTATTCTGAAATCCTAACAATATGAAGGTATTGAAGTCAATCAACACATTAATGTTCGTTCGTATAAATAAGCTTTTGGAAACTACACATTAACAATAAATTATTTTGAGTAAATGCTTGCGGTCACCACGTATAGATGGTCCTGAAAAAGAACTATTGCATTTTGTTGAGGCTGTCTTAACTTTTCGATTGTTGTTTCAGTCGTCATCAGGAATGTACTGCAAGTTTTTAACACATGATTACTTCGCCATGCAAACCATCAACTAGTTTTAAAGATTTGTTGATTAAAAAACATAAATTAATAGCCCAGTATGAAATCGAATTACAAATAATTATATTTCATCATGTTAATGGGCCAGTTTTTAAAGAACTTCATGAGTCAATGACGTTTTCAAAGAGAGATTCTGAGGAAATGGATTCCATATTGAAATGTAATAATACTGTAATTATAATTAGGGTTATATATTTAGGGCTATATAATAAAATACAAAATAATAACGTCTATCACTAAGACATCCCAGCCACATTGTTTATGTATTATGTTTAATAACTATGGCTGTAATTCCTAAATCATTGTTTTCTTATGTCTTTCTTTTTTTATTTTAGATATTGGAAGCTTCCTAAATTATCATCCGGCGGCTTTCTAAATGTTAATATTGCTTTCACATTTTGCAAAAGAATTTCACTCTACGGATTTTTTCCTTTTTCGCAGGACCTGAGCAAACGAAAACTTAAATATCATTACTTTGATAATAATAGTATGAAAGGTGGGCTAGGTGTGCATAGCATGCCAGTGGAATACAACATTTTTAAAGAACTCCATAATAATCATACACTTAGACATGTGATAAAACGATGCATCTGATCTGAGCATGATCGGAGTAAGCAATGGTCGTACAGTCATCAATTTTCCATACTGCAAGACTGGTGAATATGTTTTTGTGTCATGTGCAAAAGTAGAGACACTGCCGTCATCTTTGCTTACCGGAAATGGAGAAAATGCAAATGAGCAATATTTGTTCGGTGAAACCGGATTAGCTATCTTTGGGAAGGTGTCACCTTTAAAAAATATTAATATACAACAAAACACGAATGATGCCGTTCGTCTGGTTATCATCACCTATTTTAGAATGGCGAATGGGCTAATAAACACGAACAATGCAACACGGATAGGAAATTAGTAGTATAACGTCATCCCTATTCTTCCTAAAATATGGATAGATCCAACATTTAATATCGCAACATAGATGAAAGCCTTTATTTTTATCATAAAATAGAGGGCATCTAATGTAAGTATTTGAAAATGATACATAACATTTGCAAATTTAGCTGAAAATGCTTGTAATACTAGAAATTTATGTAAAGTTTGTTCTTCTCATTGCGTGTGTAGTCAGTTTTGAAAGTCAATACTATTTTGATGAGTTCAATCATTTCATGTGTGTGAGAATGCACAAAAGTTTTTGAATAATTCACCTAGGTCTAATATATTTATTTTTTAATGTAAACGCCATTTAATGTAAACACCCTTTTTTGTGTACTTTCATACAGTGATTCTAATCCGTACTGTAAAATGCATCCTTCTTCTTAGTCGTTACTTTGTTCATGCTACCCCGTCTTATGCATCCAAATCAAAGATAATTTTAAAAAAAAATTGGTCATTAACATTGCATCATGAAATATTAGCCTATTGGGAAATGATATAGGCTACAACTAAGTATTATTTCTAAGTTTAGGCTAGCCTACTGTAATTTATTTTTAAGTCGGTAAAATAAAATTATAAAGTAATATGTCATCCTTGTATGAAAACATGCCAAAACCTCTATCAAGGGACAATTTCACGTCTGCGGTTAGTGTCCCATGTTAAGGGACAATTTGTCGGTCCCCAATATGTTCCGAATGGGTTCTACTGCACTCTTTTACATCTCACCTGGCATCTGGCATGGTGGACGGTGCGAAGGGGTTATGGATCCGAGCAGGTGATAATCACATTTTCATGAGAAACTTTATGGAGGTACCACAGATGCCTGTTGATGCCTAAGGCAAATGGGAAGTCACTAATAAGTATTTAATTTTAGCAATCCAATTTACTGTAAAACGTCTCTTATATACAATCCACCATCAAAAACGCCCTCAAAGAGGGGAGGGGACTGAAGTTGGGCTGAAGAAAGATGAACTCTAGATGTCGCACTAATATAATTGAGAATAGAGTTCCTATAAGAACTCTAAGAAGATTGAGAAGTTAGAAGCCGTTCCAACGCGATGCGCGTTCCAGTGTAGTACTCTTTTTAGCAGTTGAATGTAACTATTAAAGATTTCTTTTTAATGATTTCACTACTTTATAACCAATTTCATATATGTACTGTAATAATTTACTATTTTTAAGCAGTTCTTTAATCCTTGTCGAAAGGATGAGAGCTCCACAATGACAAGTAGGACTATTCTTCACTAAACACAATCCTGCCATTATAGACTTTTAGTGGCTCCTGTTCTTTTGGCGAAATAAATTATAATGACCATCAGCAACAATTTATTAAATATGCCTATCAGATTGTCTATTTATATCTAAATATACAAAATGTAATTAAGATTAGTTAAAGATTTTCTAAGTTATTATGGTCTCAATCCACTAACTTTGTCTTAATTAATATCCCATTTTGTTTATATATTTTCTATTATTATTCATATATGTTGTTCATGTTATTTAATTTGTGTGGGAAAAAATGATAATAAAACAACTAAATATCTTAGTATTTTTCCTTGACTTTTATACCGGTACTAAAGGTTTCTTTGCTAAAAAAAATCACTCATATTATTATTATATTATTTACAGTAATAAATGTTAAAATAATATATGTCAAGTGGGCCGTATCATTTTCGTTCGGAAATTGATAGTACATCAAAAGGGCAATCCTTGATCTCCTACTTATCGGTCTTGGTACTGTGTCGTTTTTTCCCTGCCTGCTTTATCGAAATCAGTGTTGGCAGCCCAATATTGAACAGCCAGTCGTTACTTTTAGGCCTCGTCTTTACCGATTTCAATGATCCTGTAAAATAATAGGGTATAGATTGTTTTTCTTTAAAATATAATATGAGCCCTATACAAATCTTTAATTTTATTATCATTATTATTTATAAATATTGAAATAGTATAGATCAAGTGGGCCGCACTATATAAACTGATATTGTGTAAAGTAAAGAGCACAACATAACTCTTTTGACAAGAAAGGCAGGTCTTTCAGTCATTAGATTAAAATAGACGAACGTTTAACTTTCCAATTATAACTTCTATGTAATTTCATGTAATTCACACTAAATTATCAAGCGCTCGTGAACACGCACAAATATTTGAATTCTAATGATACAGTACATTCTAAATCACGCTTTTCATACTAAATTGTTGTTATTAATTAATCACATGATAAACACAATTAACCATGTGAAAATACTGTGTAAACGGTACCAAACTCATTGCATATATTCATCTAGGAGATTTGGACACGGTGTGTACCACGTGACTTTCGCAAGCCGAGGAGCGGAATGTCGCAACTAAACTCTTTATATACAGATTAGATTATATCTGATGGTGCCAAATACTCTGGTGGCAGGTGGATTTGTTGACAAGTTATTTTAGTCTCCTCTCAGGCACGCTTGATCAGGAGAGTAGAGGTTGATATCTCTAAGAATACACCAACATCAAAGGATTCAAAAAGAACACCTGTACAACAATACAGAAGGTACAAAAATGTGAGGGGGAGGGTTTTGAACGGTGCGTCCCCCTCTCCAATGATAACAATTTTAAGAATAATAAGAGCCACTTAGAAGGATGGTGTTTTCTGTATCGGCATCCAAATTATTTAGGCCTATTTATAAAGGCCTATCCAATTCAGGCCAACATTTGACATGATATAAACGTTTAAAATATTATTTTTTATCCCCCGACGAATCTCTCCTAACTTCCCCGACTGATTGGATGGGGTGGGGGGATTCCTAGACGGGGGGACTGCCATTCTGACAATCTGAGCATTTTTAAGCGGTTTTAAAGCGATCAGGAAGTGTTTGTTGAAAATACCGGGTGCATAAACAGAAATTTTAATAAAGAGAATGTGAAACGAGATAGCGAAAGCTGATAATTGTTTGGCCGACCCGAGTAGGCCTACGTAAAAAGAAAGAGAAATTTCTCTTGAATCGAATCTCGAGCGAGATACGAAAGCTTTCTAATGACTCAAGTTACTGCATAACCGTTTTTATATTTTTAAGAAAACCAATTGATTCTTATTTTGAATACATTTTCCCATGGATTTGTTAAAATGTGTCATCACGCATACACTTGGTGATGTGCTAATGCGCGTCAACAATTTATGGATCACGCCGCAATTATGTTTTCAGCAAAATGTGTGTTTCATCCAAAATCCCTTTGAATGCACAATTTAATCTACAAATAAAAACTTGAATGAAATATTTAACCTAAAGTAAAATAGGTTAAAAACACAAGTTGATGTAAAATAAAATGTTAGAATTTAATCAAATTTACTTAAACAGATGAAGATCGTAAAATTTTAGGTAACTACTTAAAGAACGTTACCATGTAAAACTATTTGATTGTTTGATATTATTGCTCTCATAATAAAACGTCTATACAAAATACATATTCAAATGTATTCAAAAGAAAAAAAAACACGAGAACAAGATGATAACCCTTTAAGATCGGAATATAGGGACCCTAAATATTTGAAACAAACTTAATTTTAATTTAAACTGCTATCCTCCTGGGCTACTCTTGCAAACTAAAGAGGGGGGGCTTCAATTTCAGATTGTACAGTAATCACAAAATAACCTTCAAAATGTCTGGATCTCAAAACTAACAATGAATAGTACTTCCGGGTTAAAAATATTTTACGGAAGAGAGAAGATACACAACAGTCCGTGAGCCAGCCTGTGAAAAATTCCCGGTGATATCTATGATTTCTGAAGTTACGAGGGAAAGGAATACAATTTAGTTGATATTTACCAAAATATTTGTCGGTGCCTGGGCCCGGAATACACAGCTATGGCAGGTGTAAATGTTCCTCCGGGATTCCATGTAGTGGAAATGAACAGAGTTGGTTGGATTATTCCCACCAGGTACCAAATTATGCAGGCCATTGGTACTGGGGCGTATGGTAGTGTTTGGTAAGTTCCCATTTGCTTTACATAGTTATTTATAGCCTTATTTTTTTTATCTAGGCTTAGGCTAACTTTTATCTAGGCCTAGCTATGCCTACGTCTAGCTAGTGCAAGTGTATAAGCTCTGCAATCCAGCCACTGACTCATCTCCCACAAATTCATGATGTTTTTATTTCATAATTGGCCTAGTTAGTGCCTAGGCCTAGCTAGCCTAGCTATACCTAGGCCTAGGCCTATTTCATTTCATTTCATTTTTATGAATTCATTAATGCTCAATCTAAGTACATTAACAGGCTAGCTGCTGAACATTAGTTGGTGGTTGAAACACAGACCTGTATTGTAGGAAGGTTGACATAAGATGTTTGAATCCTACAGGTTAACATCTGAAGAGTGATGTTTGAAGCAGAATCTGGGACCGATGACATCACTCCGTCAGAAGAGTGACGTACAGTGAAGAGAAGCAACTATTCAGCATCCATCTGTACCACACACAAATGGCATACTGTACTATGGTACATGAAATACCAATAATGTGGCATACAAATTGTGTACAATACCAAATTATATTTTAATAAAAAAAAAATGAAATAATTTCCTCATCCATGAAAAAATATCTCCATCCCTTGGCAAGTATAAAGGTCACACATACAGACATGTTTCATTACACATAAGGCAAGGTTTACTGTACGTCTAGGCCCATGCCAGAAACAGTGCAGGGTGACAATAATGTGTAGATAACGATGTAGGTACAGTATGTAGCCCTACTGTAGACCTAAACTACAGTAAAGGCAAATCACAGAATTGAAATTAATAAATATAATAAATTGGTTGAAGAAAATAATCAGCATTCATATACACAACAGGCAGGCCTATGATAAGTACTACCAATATATAGTAACAAATTACGAATATAAGTGGACAGATTCTCAAATGAAGACGTTGGCTGCACGCTGTAAAATGGAAGTAGGATAACGGCTTGTCTATAGCACCGGTTAAAAAGTGCTTCTGACCTGGTGATTAATAGTGCGTATTACAGGCAGCTACCAAAGAGTCGAGTCGAGCAGGGAAACCGTGACATACAGTCATAATATCGGCGTTGGTTCAACAGAGCGCTTGCCTATGGTTCCGGTGGTAGAAGTCTTCTCGGATAAGGACTCTAAACCGTAGGTCCAGTGTACACAATTGGCTCGTGTGCACTTTAAAGAACCCATTACATCATTCGAGACGAGTAGGGGATTACCCAGGTGTACTGGTTCATCTCTAGTCCCCTGTCTGGCCACAGAAGGAGCGCTTACGACGCGGCCCATGTCAGGTATTCATCCTACCTTCGAATCCTTCTACCACAATACGTACGCTATATCATACACACTAGCTACGTAGTGAGTGACTCGATAAGAAGAAGCCCAAAGAAATTACAACCGAATATTTACTGTATAATTAAAGCTGTATCTGAGTCTACTACGCAGGAAAAACCTAAATCATGTGTATCATCATCCATGTAGTTATGGTGGGTGGAGGTGGGCAGGGCTACCCAGCCTTGAAGTTTTGCACCCAGTCTAAAGCTAAATTCCATGACCCTCCACCCACCCTTATTAACCCATTTTTACATCCTTAAAATCTACTCTTATTATTTAGAGTTTACCAATGTTATCATACACCCACCCCCCAAAATGTCTTTCACCCACCTAGTTTTCTTCATCTACAGTACATGAACCCTGGGAAACATTATTTTCATATGCATCCCTGAAGTCCTGGCAAAATGAATATCACCACATACAGCAACATAAAATAGATTTTTTTCCTCCTTGAATCAATTTTTTCACAAATATTTGGGGATGTCAGTTCAATAACGTCATGTCAGGTTGGCCAGAAAACATTCTGATTTAGTTGAAATAGAAAATGTAAACGTCAAACACATTCACTTGGTTTGCCTCACTATACATGAAGATGATTCCAATAATCAATGCTTTCCAAAGTGATATGGTGATGTTGGTTCAGATTTGTGATGATACTGACTAGTTTTAATGGAATACTGATCCTCATATCATTATTAAAGGAAAGCATTGCTTTATTGTACTACTACCTGATGATGCTGGTACAATGATAAATAATAATAATTTATTATTATCCTAAAAGTATATGGTGCCAATTCCAAACTCAACTATAGATCAAAGCCCCAACACATTTGAATAGCCACCATAAATTCTTCAAGTTGCTAAGAAGAGAAAATTAAAAGTTAGCAGGGGATTGTATACATAGGTTTCTGTACAAACACTGGTGATGAAAGAATGTTTCGGCTTCAGGTCGATTAAAACCTCGAATTGAAGCCCAGTGGGCTTAATCTTGAGATGAAGCCCATCTCGAATTGAAGCCCCCTCTTTAGTTTTCAAGATAGCATAGAGTAGGCTTCTTTTTGAGATTGTACAGCACATACACTGTATACGAATTTCAGAAAACAAAATAAATTAAATACAACCTTTTTTTATACAGTAGTTTCGGTGATTTAATGCCAGTTGGATACACTTCACGATACAGATTGATGTTACAGTGGCCTTATTTATTGTTTTTATAGTACAAATTCACAAAATTTTAACAGCATTCATTTGAAAATAAGCAGTTTGGCGCAGGTGAAAGGTTTGGTTTCCCAACCTTGAGGTCGGAGTTTCAATCCCTCGCTGTGCATTTCGTTTGTGTCCTTGAGTCAGGCACTTTATCTGCATTGCTTCTCTTCACCCAGGAGTATAAATGGGTAACTGGTAGGGTTGCTTGCTCCTTTGCTGAATACAGCAGCAACACTTAAGCGTGTGGATCCAATGACCAGGGACAGAAGCGCTTTGTATCTGCAAAGAAAGGCGCTATATAAATAAATATATATGAATTATGAATGAATGAAAAGAAGCAGACCCCTTTACTTTACAAAAGTAGTCTCTTGAAAAGAAGCCCATCTCGTAAAGAAGCCCATCCAAAGTTCGCAAAAAAAAAGAATCCCAGGGCTTCAGTTCGAGATTTTACGGTAGTATAATTAATTTTTGCTTTTATTACTGTTCAATTATAATTGGGATAAAGTTATTTATAGCTTCCATCTTCTTATTGCTTCAAAGCTCCTGTGTTTTGCTATACTGGATATAAAGTAACTTGTCACTGAACTTATATTTTGTGGTCCAATCAACTAATTGTATTGATAACTTGATTCTGATTGGTTTATTATTCTTTATGTATGTGTAAGATCTCCCAAGTTTTCTCACTTTAACGTTGATGAAGATAGCAGGAGCTATC